TAATATACAAATTATTGTTCTAAGGCAACACATGTCCCCCATCTGAATTTCTGAACCTTGACCTTATAACTGGTTGAATGCCTTTGCTATTCATTAGACACATATCTCACCAACTACACTGAAGGACAAATACCTGGAGGGCATATCTTGGCCGCTCAGTTATAAAATAGTTGTGATAATAGAGCATAATGACTGAAGCGTTACTGAAACCATTGAATAGCTGCCAAAATTTCGATAGAAAAGGGAAAAACGGTCAATTCAACTGTGTCAGTATAGAATTCACTTGACCTGGCAGTAAGTTTTTTTGAGTAACTGCACATAAAGGTACTAGTATTTCATAGAATTTAAATCACACCGTATGAAATATGTTGCCATGGTTGATGACAAAGACATTTTGGAGTTGAAATGAACTGGTTTAGACAATGGAGGGAATAGAAAAATTCACATGCAACGATGATTTCAAACAGGAGAGATTTTCGTTGGCCGGGCATCTGAAATTATCTAGAAATTTTTCTTAATGCGTTAAATTATGTAGCACAATAAAATATAGAATAATATAATACAGTTAAGATACAATACCATGCCGAACAAGTATTAATTCAGAAGTCAAACAACAAAAATCAGTGTTATATTTTCAAATTTCCACAGCGTTTTCACAAAATTTTCACTGTGAAAATTTGAAAATTTAACACTGATTTTTGTTGTTTCACTTCTAAATTGATATCATACAATATTGAAAACAACAACTAACTATCAGGTAACTTTTTTCCCCTCAGTTTTTTGGAAACTATACATAACAAACAATTTTCTCTTCAGTTTGAAAAAACTCTTTGCACTAAGAAATTAATTTTGATACCAGACTGAGGCAGGGAATTTAGTATAAAAGGACAAATGGAATTTACTTGTAAGTATGGTGTTTTGAATTATGGGCTGGCATACTAAATAATTTGACATTTTCAATGACTTGAATTTATTCTATTATTAATACTTGAAATATATCACTAATTTTCAATAAACAGTAAAAAACAGTACACGGTTAAATAATCCCTTTTTTTTTCTAATTTTTAAAACTAAAATATATTATTCTAAAAAACAGTTTTGGAGCTTCTGTTTTATTCTGCAGATATTTTGGAAAAGAACTGAATGTAACTTAGGAACACTCACGTAATTGCACATTGCAATACTTACAATAAAATAAAATAAATTTTAATTAAACCATATTCTAATTTGCTGGAAGTTTCCTTCTTAAATAGTACTTTATCAAGCAGATTTTTAACAATTTTGTAAAATTAAAAGTTTATTACACCTACAGAGCATAATTTTAACAGTTCCACTGAACTTTAATTTTTAATCATAGCACTAAGCATTTATTTTTTAATTATTCCTTGTATGGAAGAAATTTCAAAGATGTAGCTGTAGTTGATAATATAACAAACCAAATAAAAATTATAAGGAAATTTAACAGTGAAAAAAAAGACTGATGAAGAATACACATATTTAAAATTGTCCATAAAATAATCAGATAGCTGAAAAAATTTTGTGACGTAACATTAACATAAATTTATGACTGAAATAATTATTGTAAGCACTTTCTAAAGAAACATAATTTTGTAGTGTAATTTAAAATTCAAACAAAATTTTTGTAAAAACGAAAGTAATGCATTATAATATAAAAATGACATGTTCTTCAATGGAAGGTTACACATTTCCTTCTGCGTAACGCCCAGTAGTCTCATTCCAGAACAGTTGCAATATGAAATTTTCCCTCAATGACGAAAAGAATCTTCAAGTCAGGTCACTAATCCCTACATTTCCCTTCCTTTTGTGACATAAATGCACCTCTCTGAGAATTCATTAAACTACACACAAGGATCTTTGTTGCAAACAGGAGGTGATTTCTTAAACGGGAGAGAGCATTCAGCTTAAAATACCCCATCCTTTCAAGGCTTTTACAGTTGCCAAAGTCCCGACCTCAAAATGTTAAGTTCAATTTTCTCTGGCAGATTATTGTCTTATTCTTTGATTTTGACAATTTCATATTGCAATTTAAGTTGTGAAAGCATTTGACATTATGAATATCTTTAACTTGTGTTGGTATCTTGTGTACCTGAGAATTGGCTGAGGGCAGCCAATTAACAGATATGCATACCCTAATGCTACACTGTAATTCAACATGATCCATGGCTTAAAATGAGAAGCCCTAATAAAATCGTCCCCAAGGAACTGAAAACTAGGTATATTATACTGAAAATCAGGTGTGCTAATAGTCATGGTAAGGAACAAAAAAGCTTTTGGTGTAATCATAAACAAATAAACATAATAACATCTTTTGATGCACTATTGTATCTTTTTTGTTGCATCAAGATGCAGCAAAAATTTGGAATTTAACCCATCCATAAGTCTATTATAAAACCTGTCTATTCGTATAAATTAAAAAAATTTATGCCAGAATGATGAAATGATGAATGAATATGAAACTTAATGCCTCACATTTTGATGAAATGATCATACTTATATAAACATATATTGATGGAATATTGATAGACATATATTGCACAGTCTGGAGAGTAAATACTATTAAATGTTTCATTTCGGTAATTGATTATGTTTAATTTAAGCACATACAATAATTTTCCCCTCTGTGCCCTCAATGTGCATTAAATTAAAAAACCAAGTTCAGTTTCACAAATCATAAGAATGGCATTATGTTTTGAAATATAGAAATAGTAGATTACCAACATATATACCATGTTCTTACTAGTTATTGGACAGAAACATCTCAGCCTGTGAAGCACATCATTCCAGTGCAGATGATTAATTGCCTTATTTATAGAAATTCCGAATTGGATGTAGATGGAATGATTTCTTATAGTTTTCTTGATGAATTTCAAAAATTGCTGCTAGAGAGTTCTGAATTTTCTTCAATATCTGAATCAATCAATGTACAATATCTGAATGTCGTATTTCATTTTATAATGTCTGATATGTGATTCAATAAATACATATTGTACATCAGCTTGAACTACTTTTTTAATTATCATACCGATCAAGGATGGAAGACGTAGCATTTACATTTATAGCAATTATCTAATGCATTTTTCAATCTATTAACACATGTAAATTATCATTAAATACATTATTACAGGACAGAAAAGAAAGATTAATTAGTTGAAAATACTTTTATTACTAAATGCCTATTCAAGCCACATCTTACTCAGTGTAAGTGCTAAGTATTGTATACTTGTTGAAAATTAGAAGAATTATCTCAAGTTTATAGTGACTCTACTTTTCTGTCAATTAATTGAGTCTTTTTGGAAATTATGTATTTTTTTGTGGTTTAGCTATGGAAAAGTAACCTTAGTCTTTTAAAGCAATGAGACTTAGCATTTTCCCCAATAAATGAATTTTTAATATCCATGAGTATTAAATTCAGAAGTGAAACAACAAAAATCAGCGTTATATTTTCAAATTTTCACAGGACTAGTTTCGATGGTTTTACCGAACCACCATTCTCACCTGCCTTATTGTGTCTTAATCCATGAGTATTTTAACCCAGTGGTACTTTTAATATTTTGTACAATACCTGAAATGTAAATAACACTTTTGTTTAATGCTATTTAAAATTCTGTATTGGAGACGACTCAAGCTTTTTCCAAGAATTTCATATTTTTGGGATACATGTCAGTCAAATTCTTTTGCATAGTGCATTGTTTTACAAGTATATATACATTAATTAAAATGTTAATGCCAATTGTGGTATAAATAATTGCATAAAACCTGTTGAACAAATGGTGACTATTTTGCTACTTTTTATTCTTGTACAGTATATCGTTTTGAAGATTGATTGCTAATATCGGTAAGGATGGGAAGAGAATATTTTTACAGAATAATATATAAAACTTTATTTAGTTGAACCCTATCTTGTCAGGCTATTGTGTATAAAAGGCTCTTCCCTCTCCCGAGGGGCTCGATTGCGGACAACTTCCGGCATTCTGGTTAAGACCTATATGCTTAGACTCGGCTCATTGGGTACGTAATCAGTCTTCAGAGTGATTAGAACCATAATTTATTTGGTGGTAGGTTCAGGCTCGGCAAGAACCGTACTGGTATTGTCTTGTCTGCCCCATGGTTATAGGGGCATTACATTGTGAGATATCGAAGGTTGTCCATCGGGGTTTGGCTTACCCTTGGTCAGCACTGGGGGGGGGGCAGTCTTTGACCTGACTTCATTCTGTTTGTAAGTGATTGCTTGCTGGTCACCACTGACTTGCGATTCATAAACCTTGACTGTGTGCTATTTTTGCCCTCTCCCTGGGTTGGCCAGGGGTTTATGCCTTCTTGGATCACCTCAAGGGGATCCAAGGAGGCATAACTGATGGCAATTATAACTGTGTAAGGGTTTCATAAAGCCCAGGTCTGGGAGTCCCTTCTCCTTAGTGAACTGTATATATAAAGGTTAAAACCTGAAGTTGTGCATTTCTAACCATAATTTGGTTATTTTTCTTTCAAATAAGGCCCCAGCAGTAGGTGAGTGGTTAAGACCACTGAATGCTAGAAGTTCAGCCTGGTTTTGATCCCAGGTGAAAGGGTAGTTACGTGGTTGGTTTCGATAGCTTTTCCAATGTGTAATGTGAATTCCAGGAGGGAAAGTCCTTTGCAAAAGCATTTTTAGGAAAGTCCTCTGCAAAAGCACCCCTCCCCTTAGGCAAATAGCCCTTGTGTACCTTGCTGTATTCAAATAACCTAACCTTCTAATGCATAATGACAATAAATTACATACTTTATGTAATGAATTTAAAAAACTTTTTGAACAAATCAGCAAGTTTACATGTAAAAAACACTTGGATATTGGGGATAATCCTCTCATTGTTTTCATTTCTCAAGTATCGTCATGTAGTCAGAAATTATGTTATAAAGTTGTAATTATTTTTTATTTTAAGTCTGATAATATGCTGTAAACTGCTTATAAAAATAATTAAATTGTCTGTTTAAAATCCTAGTCTCAAGGCAGACTGTATGAATTAGAGAAGGTGAGTTTTTGTGCTTACCATTCTGCATGTTTTGGATATTTTTGTTCTGAGTAACATAAACATCCGATATTGCCTGTGAAACTTAATTTTTTTTTCCTGAATGAATTAATTGAATGACATTTTTAACACGGTTATTGTCTATGAAGTAGTCTTGCTTACATATCCATCTACATAAATGCTAATTTTTACTTACTGATTACATAATTTTCTGCTTATTAAGCAACTGCACTTTTGAATGTGTAAGCATGCATCATATTTAAAACCACTTTCTATTAATTAAATAGTTTGTTGCCTGTTCTCTATTATATATTGTGTATAAACTGTTAGATTTCTTAATTAGTAATTCAGATTGATTTGGAAACTTTTTGGGTTATATTTGAACTTATGTTAATCATGTCTGTTCCATGCACTCTGTTATAATTTTTCAGTCAAAAATTACCTAGTAAAATTTCTTATTCTGCATGTAAGTATTCATTGATTTAAGAATTTCTATATAAATATCTTTCTGAGATATTTTTACTTTAGTTGTATTCTATTTGCATGAAAATAAAATAACATTGATACATTTATAAATGAATAATTTAAAAAGTGCATTATTCTTGAAGTTTTTGTAAAACAATGTAGCTGTTTACCCTTATGAATAAATATTTTTGAATAACTCATGCATGCATGCATGCAAAAAGTTGATTTAATTTTAAAATTTGTTAATCATGTGTTTACCATAAAGTATATATTAATAAAATTAAAAAAGACTATTTAAGAAAATGTATTGAAATTTTGGATCATTTGAAGTGAAAGAGCTGTGATATTAATTGGCTGAATGTTGCATTATAGGCTGTTAAAGTACTTTATAAAAGACATATAATGGATTATTTAAATTCAACCAAACTATCATTGATCTTCCTAATAATCCTGGTGATAACATTAGGCATTTTACGAGTCCTGAATGAAAGAGACATGTAGTTGTCTTAAGTATATGTATTACATAATTTAAATTAATAAAATATGTCCATTATAGATTGTTTTGATACCTTTAATTAGCTACTTGCAAGATTAAAATTATGAATTAATGTGGTTCTTCATTTTTATTGTTTTTTTCTCTTAGCATTATTTATATGTATATCAGTATTATTTATTAAGAGTCTGTTTGTTGTTGAAGTAAAATCAATGTTTCCCACTGCATGTGATTAAAATTATGAATTATAAAAACATAGCCTTATTATTTTGTGTTTATTTTAAATTAAGTCATGTTTAGATGTATCATTTTCAAAATAAATTGAACAAATTTTAATATTTTCACTGTGTGTCTTTAACAGTCTGTTCCCTGGTGCTGACTAATGTTGATTTTTCAGTGCATGAAGAAGTCATACAAACAGGATACTGATTTGTATCATTTGTATTGCTTTAGAAATTTCAGTAGATAATAAAAAGTATTTCAAAAAGGAAGAGCGCATTTTACATGCTTGTAAAATTATTTCTTGCAGTGCAGATATGAATCATACATTTTCTGGTAAATTTCAGAACATGCATATATATAGTGACCGTTACTTAGCTCATAGAGTCCATTAATCATGAGAAAATAAATTGAAAGAATTTTAACATTTTCACTGTGTTTCTTTAACAGTCTGTTCCCTGGTGCTGACTAATGTTGATTTTTCAGTGCATCAAACAGTCATACAAACAGGATACTGATTTCTATCATTTGTATTGGTTTATAAATTTCGGTAGATAATAAAAAGTATTTCAAAAAGGAGGAGCGGATTTTACATGCTTGTAAAATTATTCCTTGCAGTGCAGGTATGAATCATACATTTTCTTGTAAATTTCAGAACATGCATATATATATATAGTGACCGTTACTTAGCTCATAGAGTCCAGTAATCATAAGAACTGACTGTTAACATGGCATTCCTTTCACCAGCAGATCTGTATGGTAAGCTCCCTTTGACTGAAAGTTCTGGAAGTTTCTTAAAATTGGCCAATCAGTTTATACTGCTTAAAGGCTTGAAATGAAAGAATTAGGGATGAAAAACAGGTCCAGCTACACAGCTCTGAGGAATATTTCAAATAAAGGGGATAGAATTATTCAATTTATATTTTCATAAAACATGAAGATAATTATTTTAGTGTGTACCACCATACAAAAGCTCTGTAATAAAAACTTGAAAATATAAAACACAATACATGAAATTCATCATACCAAGCTTAAACTTTGCATATAAATTATATGTATGATAGAAATTATACTGCCAGAAATGATTCAAATTCAAATTATCTATTCTTTGTAAATTGAACAGAAACTGTAGTCATTAATAATAAAAAAATAGTATAAGCAAATTATCAGATAAAACAATTGCATTTGAAGTATATTTCTATAGTGATTGAAAGAGTTTAAACAGGGAAAGAAAGTCATAAAAATAATGGAAAACAAAATGCATTTCAATTAAAATACAAATGTGCTTTAAAAATATTTAAATGTGTATTATCAGAGACTAAATAATTTTGAGTACAATTAATGTGCAAAAATGACTGCGATAAACAAGTGCTAAAAGTCTAAACTGAAAAAGAATATAATAAACTTATGGGGATAAACATATTCCTGTTTAAAAAATTTATCTACCTTAATTTAATTGCCTGTAGATGTACTGTGAGACTTATATATTTTGAGTATAGTAGTTATGCCAAAATTTGCTGCGGCATTCACTGTCTCCTTGGCAGCAGCTGACTGTATTCCAAACGAGCGTGGTCTCGGCAAGGTGATATTGCCATCTTTTGGTGGAGACGGAAGGCATCCCCCCCATATACATATACATATATATATATATTTAGCATTCACGAGCAATTAATTAACAGCATTTTGATTCACATAATGTCAGGAAGAACAAAATGTTTGTTTGTCATTATTTAACTGTTCGAGTTTAATGTTTCAAATTCTTATTACCCCTTAAAAAGTTCTGTTTGAAGCATTAAACAAATTGTGATTAATGGTTTTTGTTTGTATTTTTGTCTGTTACTCCAGTTGCTACTTTTTTATAGTTTTTAATTGTCCTTTAGACGAAATTTCCTAATGTGACTTTAACTTTGTTACTTCTGATTAACATGCAACCATTTTACTTCCCTTACACAGTCTTTCTCAGATAGGATAATCTTTTAAAAATATTGCTTTTATACTAAAGGCTTATAATTCTCTCCTTTGCAGGCACAGTAATTTTTTCAAAGAAATGTTTCTCATTATCTTTTTGTAATTTCAGTTTTTTCTTACCTACGCACACACATCCTCTTCCCATATATATGTAATATATATATGCATGGAGAGAGAAAGCAATACAGTTAAATTGTTTTGTCAGATCATCTGTAAGAACTTACCCGAAGTGACCCTATAAAATGACATAATCTAATGGTTGATGAAGGACTGAGCGCAATAAAATGTGTGAAGCTATATCACAGTGTGGAGGGGAAAAAGCTATCTAAAATAAATATTAAGATCTTGATCATAATTTTGAATATTCAACAAATACTTGAGAATATAATTAATATTATTAAAATTTATATAGTAACATTAGTTATTAACTGAAATTATGTAGGGATATTTTATTTAACTTGAACACCTAATGTGTTCAAGATAAATACTATTGTTTTAAGATTATAATCTTTACTTTTAACCTCATCAACTTCATTAATTGTCTGCAAAACAGTTTTTGAAACTTGTGTTGTCAAAATAGCATGACTGACAAAGTGAAGTTTCATTATATTCCTCTGCATTATGATTCATCTGGAAAACCATAACCAATAACCACACTTTTGAAAAAGTCATGCCACTTCAGAAAGAATACCATTGTTAATCGTCCTTCTTCTCTGAATGCTGATGATTATCACATTGAGTATGTAGCAGTTCAGCATGCATTGTGAATTTATCTTATTCCACCATTTTTGATGCAGATGCTCAGTTCTAAAATGGAAGCATTTAAATCCTGTTTGTTATTGATTGCTGCAAACAAAGTTGTAAGAAAAAACTTTCAATATTTGACTTTGGTGCACATTTTGAATTGTACCTTGATATGGTGATAAGCTGTGCAATCTTATGCTTTATTAGAGTTCTTCAAAGTGTGTTGAGAGACATTAAGTAGAGTTTATCCAAGTTTTCTGCAGTTTTTGTTGAGATGTTAGCAGGTGGCTTGATTGCAGAATGTTCCATATTTTTCCAATTTGAAACCAAAATGAAACATTATGTTGTATCATATTTTCATTTGTTTTGTCATAAAGATAGTCATGACTATCTGTAAATGTACCTTATTGTACAGAATTCTCCTAAAATGTATGAATATTTCCAGTTTTAAAGAAACTTTAGATTTAAGATTCTGTTATCTGCTAACAGTAATATTTTTACAGTATTCTAAAAAAATACATGAATAACAAATATTGTCAAAATCTGGGTGGGGTTTTCTTTTAGTTGTTTTATCTAATTATGTGCTGATTTTTCTCATTTTCATGTTATTAAGCATAGTTCCTCCCCTTATAACATACAGGATGTAAACATTATTCATGCTATTAAATTTATTTTCTTAGCAAGTGAAAGCACATGAAAGATATTTGAAGAGCCTAGAGTTTCATCTTGCAAAGGTAATTTAGTTCCCTAAATAATATATTCTAAAGAAGTATATTTATGAGAGTAATAAATATTTTTTAATGTGTGTTTTCATTCTTATTTGTATATTGTACACTGGTCATCAAAATTAAAGGATAATGCGAAAAATTGCTTACTAATTTAATATTGCAACCAATGCCCAATGCTGTAATTATACAATTTAATGCAAACTTGCATTTCATGCATACGTTAAGCACTGGAAAAATGCAAATTTAGTGATTGATAGACAATGGACACGTGTTGGAATTCTGGTCTGCAGTGTTTTTAAAGAAATGTAGTTTCTGATAGTGATCAGTAATCAATAGTTATGGCTCAAAGGCATCATTTAAGTGAAAGCCAAAAGTGGCAAATAATTAGTTCATTCGAGGGAAATCAAATAAATGGAGATTGTTCAACATTTGAATATCCGTGAAAGTGTCATATCAAGATTTTGGAGCCGCTTATTAAGACTAGGATCAGTTAATAGACAGCCCGATCAAGGGCGACTAAGAGCAACAATTGCATCCGAAGACCCTTTTCTGTTTTTGTTTAGCTCGAAGAAACCATGAAGTGACTAAAAGAGATTTGGTTTTAAACTTTCAGGCTGCTACAAGAACTCGAATCAGCTTTGCTACTCTTGCATGAAGGCTTAATGATGTTAGACTGTATGTGAAAGAAAACCAATTGTTTGTGTCCCTCTCACTCCAGCTTCCAGAGGGGCCCATTTAAATTGGTGGCATCATGCTCAATGGAGCCAAGGTGACTGGGCCTGAGTATTGTTTGCAGAGGACTCGAGATATAGTCCGAAGAGTGTTTCTAGACATGTTTTGATCTGAAGAGGAACACGGAATTTGCCTTCCCTTGTCTGTGAAATATGCTGTTTCCGTGACCACAGTTTTACGGAATCTTGACTAATGACTGCACCAACCTGCATGTCTTAAATAATTTCTGTAAATGCTTGGAGATGTGGATGAGGTATTGCAACCCTAAGTTAGGCTGTTTAAGGATGCTGTTGGCTCAGAATTTGTGCTAATGAATGGCAATACTCAGCCTCATTGAACATATGTGGTAACAGAATGCTTGCAAACAGAAGATATCACTCAAATGTCTTGTAAGATTCCAAACATAAAAGTTACTGCAATGGAACATTGAACTGGTAAGCAAATAATTGCTTAGTTCAAAATGATAGAAGTGTAAACTTACGAAGGGTTGAATACCTTTTATTATTCAAAATAAATTTAACAGACAACTCCTTTCTTGGAGTTTACAATAAAGACTCCTCTTGGGCTTAAACTGAGGAATACTAAGAATTAAAACTTAACTTAAAAGATATAGTCGAGGCTATCAATATTCTAACAGAGTTGGCCCCTTAAAACTAACTAGCGGTGAAGCTATCAAGGGCCTAAAGTACGGCCAAGCGTAATAATAGCTTAAAGGCCCGTCCACACGAGGACGCTCCCGACGTAGTTGACGTAACTTTTTTGATGCCGGCGTTAATTTACGGGACACAGAAGATGTAAAACGAGTACGCTCCTGTTCGCTTTCGCCGCGACGCGCGCATAGCCAATAGCCGACGAGTTTCTATCACTGTATAATCAGAAACCTTCTTGAAAGTTTCAATTGGCTCAGAACCACACAGAGATGAATTTTTGCCTAGAATGTAACTGTATACAGCAATAAAATGATCAGCATGTTCACGCCATCTTCAGATTCTCAAACCGTACATATTGGTTATACATTAATTCTCATTAAAGGGGAGAAACTGTATATTTATAAAGCAATGATTCGACCAGTATATCCATAGCTTCACTATTTATAACACCGTAAGTAATAGGAACAAATGAATTACAGTTTCAACGAAATCAAAGTTGCCTTACAAAATTCTCCTTAATTATTTAAATGGCTATATCATGTTTAATAAAATCTATAAAATCCCAAATTAAATACACCAAAAACTAAACAGCAATATAAAAACTTCTAAAATAAAGCAGTTGACTGTAAAGAGCATTCATAAAATACAATTACGAAATTTTGGAGGAAAGTTCAACTTGTGTCAGCAGCAATCATTATTCAAGTTTAATAAATTACCTTTGCGCGACTTCTACTGTTACTATTTTTCACAAACACTCTTGTCACAGAAAGCTGAGTGGTCAGCGCTGCTTTGTGGCGGAGGAATGGAAAGGTGGCGAGTTCGAACCACCCGTAGACGGTACATAATTCAGTTAGCTTTTCTCATTTTGAAATGTGTTTCTTATATTAATCATGAGTCATTCTATTCTTATTTACCTATTATGTTGTTTTCATTTCTTATTTTATTCATTATTAATTGTTTCTATTTAGTTAAAATGCAGTGCAAATAGAAATCTTATGTAATAAATAATATATCTGCATCTTTTATCATATATCATCTATAAATGCTCTCTTTATTTTTACTTTTTGCATATTTTATCAGGCACATAATTCGAAACTGTCCCAAGTTTGAACCTCATTCAAATTCAAATAAATAAAAGAAAAACAAAAGACCAAGGAGAGGGGTTAAAAAAAATATGAAGTTTGTTTTATTATTGGTGGATGGTGTATTAAAGAGAATTAAGTAATTAATTCTCTTTATATACAATTTACCAAACCATTTATAATCCTAATTTTCTACGATTAGAATCTTCAGGTCTGCAAACTGTCGATACTCATCCTGAAGGAATTAAAAAAAAGTAAAATACCCCCCCTCAAAAAAAAAATAATCAATTCCTACTTAGGTCCACAAAGAAAAATTTAAAAATACAAAATAAATAATAAAAATAAAAATACAAAAAATATTTTAAAATTAAAAATTAAAAATTAATAGTGAAAAGCTGTATTACATCAACGTGTCATTCACTACAAGTTAAAAAAATTGTTTTGAACTTGAGGGGATGAATAAAAAGCATTTTATGTACTGAAAATTTGACAAGAATAGGGGAGTGGAGCTAATAGTAGGAATTTAATAATTCTGGATATTCCTTTCGCAACAAGGCAGTAAAAAAAAAATCTCTTGAACAGGTCGCTCTAAAACTTTGGACCTATTCTTGCCATTTTTTGTGGTTTTGCCTCTGCTTAATAATTGCACTTTATAGTAAAGTTTAGCTATAAAAAAAAAATCGGCTGATTCGGACAACTTGCCGCAACATACAGAACAGCGAAGTAATAAGATACAGCTCTGTTGACGCTATATTACAGCGTCACGTGATTTTTGCGCAAAATAATTCTATTGGTTAAACGCACTCTTTGCAAGCGTACTCGTTTGGATGCTTTTATGCTGGTGATGTAAAAGCGCGTTCGTCAGCTACGTTTCGAGCGCACTCGTGTGGACGGGCATTAAGAGAGACAGTGGCCTTAAAAGCGAGCAGGCGCTGCTCAGAATATCTGGTTCTCTAACGAAGTCAGCAGAACTTCAAAGTTAAATACTTCCCCTCCTCATTTGCATTTAACCACGATTCTGAAAATACGTTCAGGCTGCAAGTTGTAAGGTGAAATTAAGACAGGAAAGTTACTTTAACTAAAAATTAACTGTTGGGAACTTAGGATAAACTGTATAACCTTACTCACCCAACCTGAAGTGAATTGAGCTGTGTAAACTGTATAACCTTACTCACCCAACCTGAAGTGAATTGAGCTGTGTAGGATGCCTTAAGAGTGCCAAATTTCAGCGACCAAAATTCCTCTCTAGATCCTCCAGGAGTTGAAAAGTGCACTTTTAGAAGAGTGGCTTCCAATTCCACAAGACTTGATCAACACTTAAAAAGTAACATTGGTAAAGTCTATGAAATCAAGATGTGAAATAGGCATATCTGTCTGAGGTGACCGTAACACCATATTAAAGAAAAACGTTTTCCACTAGAGGTGACTTAATTTTTCTATAGTTTTCCAGTTTCATAAATTTGGTTTTTATTTCAATATTTTGTGAATAAGCAATTGCCAAACATTGCAATTTATGTTAACTATTGCTTTCTATTAACAATTTTTCATTAAATCTGGGCAGTGCTTATATACTGCCAGTCTTCTTAATTTTTGCATTCCATGCTTTAATGCTTTTACAGGATTCCCATTTGTTTTGACTCTAAGATGGACTGTTGTGGCTGCTGTCTAAATACAATGTCAGACTTCTTACTAAAAAACATCAGACTCTTGATCTTGGCTGAAACTCAATTTATTCATTCTTCCCTGAACACACCACTGTGGTTGAATAATAAGTTGCCAAGCATACTGATGTCAGTGGCATTTTTCCTCGCAAAAGCACTGTCATACTAGTATGCACATAGCCATTTCTCTGCTTAGTAAATTTCAGAAAACTGTCCCAGGATTGTCTGTTTTTTTATTACAAAGTTTGAAGAAATGTATTTTTTAGATGTATTACACGTGAAAAAATCATTCTTATGTTAAAAATAAAGTATATATATATATAGAGAGAGAGATGGAGAGAACAAAAAATTAGTTACCCGTTGTAATTTTGACTTTTTGCACACACATGAGTAGTAAGATTATTTTGTATTAAATACCCCTGTAATATTGGCTTTTTTAACATGTGCCAGGTAGTAATAAACAATTTACATAGCTTTACATTGCTTGTTTATTACATATCTGGAAATTTTAGCTATAATTTAATGTTTCATCTCAGAACAATCTATTTTAAAACAAGGAAAGGCACAGGAAGGATATTTTTGGTATACTTTAAAACAAAGAATAAATGAAAATTAAAACATGCAAGGTTACACTAATATAACTTAAAAGCTATTTTGTATGCTTTTAGTAATGAAATTTAAAAGTTTATGAATTTGTAATAAAACTTTACGAAGTGAAATATTTAGCAAATATAACACAATATATTTGTTTGAGAGTTTCATTATGGATTTAGAAAGGGGGAACCTTGCAAACTTGCTCTTATGGTCATCTAACATCATCTAGAAATGGAAAAAGTAAACTGATATAAATTGTATGGCATAGTAAAAAAGAGCTAAAGCTTTGGAAACAAGATTCCCATGTCACATATGGGCAAGTCAAGCTGTGTGGGGGGGGGAAGGTTACCTGTATGATGAAGGAACAAAACTGTTAAGCAGGTAAAAACTGAAGTTTTAAGCACTTGTATGAGTTTTAGAACACTGTTTTATATCTTTGCCAATCCTCAGCTTAGTGACATTGAGCAAAATGTACATGATACTGAACACCACTAACTTTGAAAATCCTGAAATGCAAAAGAAATGAAGAGTTGTCTAGGGAAGTCTGAAAATGTAATAATTTTTTAAAAATCAGAAAACCTGGAATTTTATTCATGAAGTCAGGGAAGTTGAAAAGAAATGCAGTGTTCTATTCAGGATAGGTAAAACGAAATGCAGTATGCTATATTCTCAAATAGTGTAAAGTTCATGTTTAAAACTTTGACTTGTAAAGTTGACTTGAAAGGAAAGCAAATAAAATATGACTGTATACATTTATACTTTTTGCTCTTACGTATTTTACTCTTGTTTACCATAACTATCTTCTGCTCCTGCTAGTGTAGTGTTATATATTCTTCTCATTAAAAATTTATCCTTTCTGTAACAAAAATGAGTAATGCAGTTTCAAAGTTGTTGTGCTGCATAATTGTTATATTAAGTAACTAGATTAATCAAAACTTTTGTGATCCAGTTAATTTATGAATGGTGCATGGTTGTTACAAACAAAATGAATGACTTCTCCCCCAGAATTTGATTTTGTTTTGTTAAACCTTACTGTATTGTTTTGAAAAAGGGTTTAGGTGCATGCTATATACATCTTTATTTTAGCTATCTTTATCTAAGCTACGTTTCAGTGGCAGCCCTGTTTTGTAGTTGTCATTCAAACATATTGTCTTTGTGCTGATGCAGGTGATTTATTTTTACTATACTGTGGATTGCACTGCATTTTCTCCCTTATTGATCCCATGTTAAAACAGATAATCATGCATCGTCTAAAATAAAATTAAAAAAAAAAAAAAAAAAACTTGAATTATGCAGCGTTTCAACTTTTGTCATAGTTCTTAAGATTTTTTTTTTTTTTTTTTTAATCTGTAAAAGATTCTTCCTCATATATTTTTAAAGCTTTGTAATGTGTTTTTAGGCTTTGATTTGCTTAAACAGATTATGAATGGAAGGCCTTTTTTATTACTTTCAGCTAACAACTGTTGCAACATTTTTCAGAATTGAAATATTTTGATATGAAGCATATTGTTTTGAAAAGTTAAATGTAAGACTACTTTATTGCTTTATAGCTTGAAGAAGTAAAGGAGCAGTATGATGTGCAACAGAGAATGCGAGTTGGTATGATATTTGACACTTTGTCAAGTTCTAAATTTAGATGTAAATTCTCATTCTGTAGAAATTGATAATAAGTTGTGAGATCTGTTTTTATAAGTAGTTAACAATTTAAGAATTAGTATAAGAAAAACTATTTTTTTCTTGAAAGATATAGTTACAATGTGCAAGAGTATTAATTTTTATGAGATGGTCAAACATTCTAAGAGCTAGTATGAGAAATATTTGTGTATAATATAAGAACTTGATTATGAAAGATGAATAACCAACTTCTTTGTGTTCTAAATTTTAGATCTTTCTATATAAAAAGACTATTAATTGTCATGCTAATCAAAAACCACCTAAAATTTGTTGCACTGATTAGGCAATTTTTTTTTTTATATATCGGATGACTAGCCATTTTCTGTAATTTTCCAGAGAATTCTTCTGTTAGTTTTCTGATATTTGTATATCTGTACTTGGATTTATCATTATGTTCATAGTTTTGACTATGATATTTTAAATGGGATGTAATATTTCAATAAAAATGTAATTTTAGCACAATATTAATTAATATCTCGTGCTATAATTATAAATTAAATGTTACTTGAATCTGAGAATAAAGTATTATCTGAAATTTTAAGTGGAAAATCAGGCTATTTCTTAATTTAAGTTTAATATAGGATTATTATAATTTAACTGATGGTACTCAAAGACTATGGAGATTGTTCATACGAACAGAATCAAATAAAATTTGGAACACATGCTATAAGGTCACAGGGAAGTAATTTACAGAGAGAAGAATGCTATCAAAATAGTTATTGCTGTAAAATTGTATTACTAGGGTAAAACATCTAAATTATAAGCTTCTATGTGTGTTACATTAAGTAAACTATTAGAGCACATTTATTAACAAGCACATACAAGGTGTGCCAGTGAAGTAACCAGACAGTTTCTTGTAAATAAGAAAAAGATTACTAACCTTCAGTTAAATTTGTCCCCTACAAAATAATCACCAGAGGAGTCTGCACAATTTTTCCAGTATTTCTTCAGACCATCAAAACACTGTTTATGGGCTTTTAGAACTAACAGTTTGCAAGATGCATGTAACATTTGATTTAATAACACAGACATTTTCAAAACTGTCCTTTTGTGGTTATCTTATTTTTCGGAAAGATGAAAAAAATCAGTTGGCCACATGTCTGGAGAATATGGTGGGTGATTTATTACTGCAGTTCAGTTTTTAGCAAGATGTTGTTCTACGATATTGTTTCTTAATTGAAAAGCACATTCTTGAAAAAATACTGATTAATTGATTGATTTTGAGGGAAAAACTCTTGGTAAGTCCTTTGTAATTAAGAAATGCAATCAGCATCACCTTAGTCTTTGATTTCAACATCAGTGCTTTCCTTTGTTTGGGAGAAGATGGTCCTTTCCACAGTGCACTTTGTCTTTTTTATCCTGTGCCATATCTGTCTATATCTGATATGACTATATCTGTCCTATCAAAATCCGTGGTACAAATCAAGCCCAAACATTCCTTATTTTCAGATTTTCAATTAAAATTAATCTGCAGCTTTCTTTGCTTATCCCAAGCATGTCTGAAAGTTGTTGAATTGTTACATTATCAGCTTTTGCCAAAGAACTGATTTTCTGCACACTTTCCGCACACTTCGAAGCTAACAAGGCATCCTATCTTTGGTTTATCTTCAATGTTTTTGCACCCAAATATAAAGCAGTTGTACCACTTATATACTCGTTTCTTGATAACAGTGCATCCTCATATATTGCAAATCATGTGTAGCATTTCAGTAGCAGATTTACTTAATTTGTAACAAAATTTAACCTTATAATACTGTTCCATCTCAAAGCAAATTTTTTGCGCAATGTCTTCCAAATAAATGATAATGACTCCTCTGTTTTGATATGCAGATAACAAAATACAGAGTTTAAATTAGCTGTAACAAGCATTGGGATGTCACTTTCTAAATGTGCCTTTTTTTCTTTTACTTTTTTTATTGCTTGATCTTTTAATTTGCTTGGTTATTTTTTGAGTGCACTTTTTACATTTTTAATATGTAATAAAGTTCAGAGTACATGATTAGCAAATATTCCAGAATCAAATAACTTTCTAGAAGCAACACTATATAATATGACTTATACTTAACATATACGTGCATACGGGTTCGTTATGAATGAATGCACAAGTCCGATGAAAAATGAACAAAAATTTATTATTATCACAACAAAAATGCTTAAATTTTCTCAAATTATCATGCAGTATTACAATATCTCACAGTAGTTATCTTTTAACTACTCAAATGTCCAATAGAACGTAATTCAAAACAGCTAAAGAACGCTAATCCGCGAATTCGCTACAATCAACAACAGTAGTTTTCTAAAACAACAACAAACTAAGCAACTACTACAAACTGAGATGTTTTCCTCCTTTTATAAGATTTTAAAATCACGCGCTAGAATTTTCCAGTACTTTCTCGAAATCAAAAAGAGATATTTATTTATTTAATGCACGCGCTCTTGTATTTTTCAATTTTCCGGCTTAGCTTTCTTTTAATATTCGTCACGCGCTGCACTGCGCGAGAAATAAAACCATTTAATTTATAATTGAACTAACATTAGCTTTTTAAATACCAAATTCGTAACACTGCCCCCTTCCCAAGGACTGCACGTCCCGGGCAGTACAATCCCTGGACAGGAAGCTAAACTTACAACTGTGGCATAAATGCAACTGAGGCATAAACATTACATTACAATATCAAACATATAAAACAATACAATAACTAACTTAAACAAATCAAATGCTATCAAATACTAAATACAAACAAATACAAATACAATCAATACTAAATACAAATCAAATACAAATGCAATCAAATACAACAAATCAAATCAAATACACATTTAAAAACAAAAAGGACCATGGTCTTATACTATTTACAATTATTTACATTACGTACTATGGCCATAGTAATGAGCTAACCTGTCGTAATGAACGACTTAAGGTTTAGAGTTCGAAGACTTACGGATCCGAACCACGACGCCATTCAGTCTGTTCAGCACTGTATATGGACCATCCGAAGCTGACTGTAATTTAGGACTGAGTCCTTTCCGTTGAATCGGGTTCCACAACCACACGTTGTCTCCTTTGTTGGATCTATGTCCAGTAGCTCTCGTGTCGTATCTGGTCTTCACTTTCTTCGTCGCCAAGTTGACTCGCTTTCGTGCAGAACGGTGCATCACCTTCAAACCGGGCCTGGACATCTTGGATGTGTTCCTCAGGCGATGAAGGCGCATCCGTACGGCGATCAAACAGGCGGTCACAAGGCAGACGAAGGTCTCGACCGAAGAGCTTCTGAGATGGAGAATAGCTGGTAGTCTTGCGTTTCTTTTCGACCCTAGCATGATTTCGGCGGCTTCCCGAGCTGGGTCTTTCGGACAAGGCGTCGGCATTTCCAGGTGAGGATCCCTTCTGAGGATGGATAGTCATGTCCACCAGATGCTGAAAGCAGTTTGTTGTTTTTGAAGTCTAAGGAAAAATTGTATTTCCTTAAAAAGTCCAATCCGAGTATGCATGGATCTGTGAATATCCGCCACATATGCCGTGTGATGGTAGGCGGCACTTCCAAACGTGATGTTTACGTTTAACTTCCCAGTTATGTCGATCTTATCACCAGACGCAGTCTGAAGGGTAACACAGGATGGCGTCCAAATAAGTTTATCTTTAAACTGTTCAGCTAAATCTTTCCTAATGATGGTAACATTAGCTCCTGTGTCAATGATCATATCGCAAGGAACTCCATCGATATTCCCATTAATGGACAGTCCGTTACTGTTGCCACTCACTGTATAAATTTTAAGCGCTTTAAAACAAGGTTTTTCATTATCTGGCAACCTCCGTTCCTCGATATGGTCACTAATTTGTTTACTGCGTCGTTGCTGGGAAATGGTCTTATTTTCCGTACCTCGGGATGTTCTGCAGTTTCTTCGTATGTGGCCTTCAACTCCGCAGTTCCAGCACTTTTAGAATTAGTTTCTTTTCACTTATGTTCCGTCTCTCAAGCCACTGACTTGTCTGGTAAAATCATCTGCTTTATATTCCGTACCCTGGGGTGTTCTGCAATTCCGTCTTAGGTGACCTTCACTACCACATCTCCAACACCTTAGAGCCACTTTCTTCTCCCTCCTACTCCGTATCAAAGCGTCGACTTGTCTGGCTAAATCATCTAAACGAGCCATCAGTTGATCCACTGGCTCATGGACTCGCACAGCTCTAACTGGGTAGCGATCTCTACTAGTTGCTTGCTGGGCTGCCTCGAACTTCATGGCGTACAACAGAGCGCTTTTTATGTCCTTTACATCTGCCATTCGAAGAGCTTTCTGTATTTCAGGATCCCGGATGCCGTCGATGAAATATTGCAGCGACAGGATTTCTCTTGTTTCTGTCGGGCACTCCGAAAAGGCGAGGTGGGACAGCCTTTCAACATCCGTGGCGAGCTCCTGAAGTGTTTCGGTAGGCTTCTGTTGACGAGATTTTAATTGGAGCCTGCTGTAGTCTTTTAAAACATTTCTCGCCGAAAGCGCAGCTCCAAAGCGCCGGATAGAGCTTCGAAATCTAAGCCTTTGATTTTCGGGAAGCGTCTGCAGGATATCCGCTGCGTCTGCTCTCAGAGAAGCGGCGAGATGACAGGCCTTAGCTTGGGAATCCCATCCATTCGCATCCGCAACGATAGAAAATTGTGTCTTATACACCTTGCCAGGAGGTCTTCCCATCATATGTGGATAGCTTCAGAGACGGAACGAGCAGGCATCGGTAAAAATTTAAACCTTCAGAATTGTTTCCTCCTGCCGTCGCTACGAATTTCTTTAAAGCTGTCAACTTCTTTGGCGACGGCAGCAGAAACCCTATCATCAATTTGTTGTTCGACGGCAGAAACTCTTTCTTCAATTTGTTGTTGGAAGGCCGAAACTCTTCCTTCGACTCGTTGCTCCACAGCCGAACTCTATCT